GGGGGGTAAGACAAAAGTTGTGATACCTCAAGTTGGGACAGATCAGCAAAGGGATCGCCGGTAACGCGGCCCTGATCTGGATTCCTGGATGACAGGGAAGCCACACGGCCGCGAACGGTTTTCATATCGCCGGGAGGCGGCGGAAGAGGAGCGCGAATCCTTCCCCCACCTGGAGGCGGAGCAAGGGGGGCCTTCATCTTCCCGGTGGCCAGTATTGGTGGTGGAGGATTACTGCTGGAGGAAGACACCAGTCCTGTTCCCGAAAGAGGCTTTGTTTTCACATTGATACGGATCGTTTCACCCTCCTGCAACATACACCAGACCCACAGTTTGCACTCGTTTCCGCATTTCAAAATAAGAAAGCTTTCCACATTCCAAAATAAGAAAGCTAAAATAGTAAAGCGCTTCTCAGCCACCACTTCCCTAACCCTTTATTTTCTTCGAGGGTCGGGAAAAATACCGACCGCAGGCTGGTACTGGTCCCCCGCTTCTATTTCCCACTACTACCGGTACTTGTTGTGCTCAGGCTCAGCAGGGCGTGGCACGAGGCTGCTTCTATTTCCCACTACCGCTACTTCTTGTGCTCAGGCTCAGCAGGGCTTGGCACGTGGCAATTCGCTGCTCAGGCTCAGCAGGGCTTGGCACGTGGCAGTTCGCTGCCTCCACAACAGTGGTGGTTTAGTGGAGCGGATGTCCCCAAGGACATGATTCCGGACCTTTTGCCTTGGGCCCTCGCTGCACTACTCACCAAATGTGTGAAAAATTGCAGACTCTACCTCACCCTACCTGCTAGTGGCTGGATGGTGAAAAAATGAAGTATGGATATACAGACCTGGGTTCAATTCCTGATGGAATCAGTCAACTAACTCGTCTGAATAGCATGCGCCTGCCCAGTTCCGTCATCAACCCTTATACCCAAGTCCATCCACATTCCCTGTGCGCAGTTTGGCCAACCACGGGAGAAACCTCTCTCTCTCTCTCTCTCTCTCTCTCTCTCTCTCTCTCTCTCTCTCTCTCTCTCTCTCTCTCTCTCTCCACATATACATATATGTATTGTCAAACAGAACTGCCCGGTAAACTGTAGGAAGAGATGGAGAACAGGGGTGTGACAAACAAGGGGGCTGTGACAAACAAGGGGGCTGTGACAAACAAGGGGGCTGTGACAAACAAACAAAGGGGGCTGTGACAAACAACGGGCTGTGACAAACAAGGGGCTGTGACAAACAAGGGGCTGTGACAAACAAAGGGCTGTGACAAACTTGTTTCGTCAGAGTGGGGAACCTTCATTCTGATCAAGGATCGAAGTCTGTTGTTTGATCATTATGGCTTCTTTTTTTTTTTTTTTTTTTTTTTTTTTTTAACCGACCGGTGTTAGTGCTGCTTGATTTCTCGAAGGCAGGATTTGATACGACCACAATGAGATTGTTTAAAAGTAGTTCCAGTGAATCCAATCCAGTCTTAGTTAGCGGCACAGCTAACCGAATTGAACATAACAAGGTGTAGCGCAGGAGACGGGGGCGAGGTTGCACTTCGACGGGTACACTTGTATCTGGAAGAGAGATTGGGCTTCGCTCCACTGCACAACACTCGACATGTATCTGGACCCTCCGTGAGCGAGATATATTGGGATTGCTCCATATATCAAGACCATGACCCGTTCCAGATACATTTAGACTGTTGTATACTACAGCGAGGCCGATTGGCGGATGATCATCTTCGGTATCTATTCAAGACATGAACAGTATGTCTCAGTCTGTGCAAGTGAGACCACTACAGAACATTCTAAACGAACCTGGACCTCGCACTGGTCCCGATACATTCAAAATGTTGTTGGTGCAGTTCGAATGTATCTGGATCAACATATACATTTACAATGTTGAGTTGGACCCTATGCCCCCCAGGAGAAGCCCATTGACATAAGATTCGGCGGCTACAGGACTGGATGCGCCGGACTAAAAARTAMAAWAAAAWAARKRAAAAAAAAAAAAAAAAAAAAGCTTACTATACTCCCATCCAGATACAATCACAAAAGGTACAGACCATGAAGATGGGCTGCAAAAAATAAAATAAATAAATAAATAAACAGATAAATAAATAAATAAATAAATAAATAGAATGGGCTGTATAACGCATGACAATAGCTCTCCGTTTGCTATCCAAATAGCAACAAATAGGTCATCAGAGCGGCTTTTCCCCACATTGGTTCTCCCGCGTTTCCTTTCCCGATAGCCCATTTACCTATCGGATAGATAATGGCTATCCGATAGACAATGGCTATCGGCTAGACAATAGCTATCGGATAGACAACAGCTATCGGATAGACAATGGCTATCGGAAAATTAAACGGGGGAAGCAAATATGCCAAAGGCTCGCCATGTTTTTCCCACTCTCTCTAGCAGCGCACACACACACACACACACACACACACACACACACACACACACACACACACACACACACACACACACAGAGAAAGAGAGAGAGAGAGAGAGAGAGAGAGAGAGAGAGAGAGAGAGAGAGAGAGAGAGAGAGAGAGAGAGAGAGAGAGAGAGAGAGAGATGAGATTACACTGTAAATTGAACTGAAGACCTGAGGCTTTACCCTCACAGTTAACGTCGTACAGTCCATGGCATGCGGTCCTGACCGCGATCATCGTTATGCGCGCACACACACACACACACACACACACACACACACACACACACACACACACACACACACACACACACACACAGAGAAAGAGAGAGAGAGAGAGAGAGAGAGAGAGAGAGAGAGAGAGAGAGAGAGAGAGAGAGAGAGAGAGAGAATAGCAGCAGGTGGGAGAAACATGATAATGTCTCTAGAACTGAGCGCAAAAGCATCATCATCTAGGGCACCCGGAGGGCACCCCTCGCCGTGTAGAGTGAGAGAGAGAGACAGATAGAGAGAGAACAAACGACAGGCAGGCAAGAGGTAGTAGAGAGGAAAAGGGGAGGAAGAAAGGGGAGGGAAAGACAGAGAGAGAGGGGAAAGAGACTAGACGAAGGCGAGCGAGAGAACGATTGTCGACGTTGCATAAGATATAAATACGTGACATAAATGGGGCACATCGAATCACAAGTTCGACACGCCGTATCGAAGGTCGAACTCGGATCACAACATTTCACTCCCCTGGATTCATCTATCTACCTTATCTATTTATCTATCTTATCTATACATTTATCAATCAATCTATCTATCTATCTATCTATCTATCTATCTATCTATCTATCTATCTATCTATCTATCTCTTATCTACCTATCCATCTATCTATCTATCTATCTATCTATCTATCTATCTACCTACCTACGTCATCCATTTATTTATCTATCTTATCTATCTTATATATTTATCCATCTATCTATCCATCTATCTATCCATATCTATCCATCTCTATCTATCTGTCTACCTACCTCATCTATCTATTTATCTTATCTTATCTATCTATCCATCTCTATCTATCTATCCATCTCTATCTATCTACCTACCTCATCTATCTATTATCTATCGTATCCATCTATCCATCTATCCATCTATTTATCCATCTCTATGCCTACCTCATCTATCTATTTATCAATCTTATCTATCTCATCTATCTCATCTATCTATCCATCTCTATCTATCTATCTATCTACCTACCTCATCTATCTATTTTCTATTTTATCTATCTTACCCATCTATCCATCTATTTATCCATCTCTATGCCTACCTCACCTATCTATTTACATATCTTATCTATCTTATATATATCGTCACAAATAGAACTGCCCGGTAAACCGTAGGCAGAGAGAGAGAAGAGGACAACAAACGAGGGGATCTATCTTATATATATATATATATATATATATTGTCACATTGTGAATCAGAGCGCAAAAAAGGGAAAAGAAAAAAGGAAAAGGAAAAAAGGGGAAGGGGAAGGAGGTAAGGAAAGCTCCACCTATTCATAACCTCTTACGTACAAGGCCAGCCACGTGGATGACAGGTTGAGCGCTGGCTGCCCCCATCCCCGTGTGTCACAAGGACCCACTTGCACGCAGCCAAAAGGCAAAGAGGTAAAGAAGGGGAGGA